TTCCCATTCCCCCCTTAGCAAAACATGATTCCAATTTCCCCACCCCCATTCCCTGTTTCCATTTCCCCCCTTACTTCCTGATTGACTGCAGACTATATAGTAAAACTTGAGTTCTGCTTAGCTATACCTTAACCAATTATTTTACTGAAATTTAACTAACCAATTCTAACATACTGTAACATGGTTATTTAACCAATTATATTTTACCACCTTAATTGGTTTACACCCAACAAAATTAATTATACAGCAGACAGAAACAATTACAGAACCAGACAGAGACCATGCAAATAAACATACAAAACAATACAGAAGCGAGGATTTTACATCCCAGCTATGGATAAGTGAGTTCTTGCCAGACAGGATGCTATTAAACTAAGTTTCCTTTTACATCTTCTAGGCTCTTTCCTTTTTCTGGAGGTGATAGGAATATCAGGACAGAATTGTATTTCTAACAGCCCAATAGCACCTTATTTTCATGTGACTAGTTTGGAATGTGAGGATGTGACCGTTCACTTCTTAGCTTATGGCTGCCTCTGCTGCTTAGCAGAAGGCCTTACTTAGCCTAAGAACAGAGCCTCAGACTGTCCCAGGTATCCCTGGAAAAGCATAGGACATATGGCAGCACATTTCCTGATAGGGCCAGGCATTAAGGTGGAAGGTGTCGATATTTTATTTGTTTCACTGCCCTTTGTGTAGTACAATGCCCTGCACCTTCTCTCGTACGGGCATACCACACCTATTTTAATTAGTGTTTCAGACTTTTTATTATAGTGGGCCCGAGAAGGTTGGGTCCGGGTTGTCTTGCACACTGCGGGGTGAAGAGGGCTTACTACATTACTTATAGGTTATTTTCATATGCAACGTAACACAAGTACAGTTAACAATACACAATTTACAGCAACACCGAGTCCTGACCACTGCAGTATGGTTCAACATCCGAGCCACCACCAAAACTCTGCCTCTCCTCCTTCGACAGGGTCAAGATCTTAATGTGTCCATTTGCTGGCAGTTGCAACAAGCTGCACTTCAGTCCACTTGTGAAAGGTTTGAAGTAAGGGCAGCATTATGGGAAGCTGCCAGTAATCTTTCAAGTTTGGTGCTGTTTCAGCAAGGGCTGCTGAAGGGTTGTAAAGTTAAGGGTGGTTAAAGCTAATTTGGCACAACAGGGTTTAGAGTCAGAAGCAAAGTTAACAGATCACCTTTAAAGACAGGCCTGAATATCTATATCCTAACAAAGAGAAGGAAGAAATGTGATTCAGTGACTTGCCTGTGGCAGGCTTGAACTCTGGGCAGTAAAATGACTGTGTACCATAAGCATAAACACTGGGAAAGTTTTAATATATCCCTTTTTCTGCCTGCTATCCTCAACCAAAAACTCAGATCTGAGCACCACAAGATAAGGGATTTTAGAATCCAAACCTGGATGCAGAGCCACTGTGGTCTAGCCCAGGGAAATGGACTGGAGCCTGGCCACTTAAAAGTTAGGTCGACATTGCTACTGTCACTTGGGGAGGTGGAATTCCTGTACTGATGGAAAATCCCTTTTCGTCACTGTAGGAAGTGTCTACACAGCGGTGCTATAGCTGTGCTGCTCTACTGCCATGTAGACATAACCTGGGACTCAGCAGATGATGGCTCAGACACAGGGGTCCCAGAGGGTAAGTCATTTAAACTACCGTGACTCTTAGTTTTCCCAATTTTAAAATGGGGCACATGCTCCCTGTTTTACAGAGGTGTTGCGGTGAGGGTGAAAAGTCCATTAGTGACAGTGAAGTGGGCCATAGGCGTGAATCTGAACAGCCTACAGGGCAAACCAAATGCCTAGCTCTGACTACCTGTTAGCCTTGGATCTTCATTCTGTTGGTGCTGTACATACACAAACACACACACACACACACACACAGAGATAGTCCCTGCCCTGGGAAGAGCTTGCAACTTAAACAGACAAAGCAGACAAAAAGGGGGAGCAAGGGAGTAGCAGTATCCCTGTTTTACAAACGCAGAGCTCAGACATCAGGAGCAGGGTCGGCTCCAGGCACCAGCTTGTCAAGTAGGTGCTTGGGGTGGCCGCTCCGGAGAGGGGCGGCACGTCCAGGTATTCGGCGGCAATTCGGCGGACGGTCCCTCACTCTACCTCGGAGCGAAGGACCTCCCGCCGAATTGCCGCCGCAGATCGCGATCACGATCATGGCTTTTTTTTTTTTTTGGGCTGCTTGGGGTGACCAAAACCCTGGAGCCAGCCCTGATCAGGAGATTAAGTAGCATGTCCAAGGTCACATAACTGATTAACTGATTTGTATACGCCAACCGTTTCCCCCAGAAGTATCCATTTGACAGATGTCAGCTGTCTTCAAAAGCAAACTGAAGTGAACTCTGCATTGTTCTATACTGGGGCACACTGAATGGCAATGATTTGATAAGGGAGATAGAACTGTCTTGACACAACAAGAAAAAGCACTTATATTTGTCTCAGATTTTAAAAGAATTCTGCCCAAAGAGGTGGCCAGGTTCCAAGCTGTTCCCTGCCTGATATTTCAGCCATGCTCCCATAATAAATTGCAGCTCTCTTAGTGCAATGTATCTCTAACTTTTTCCATTGACACTCTTCATATTTTATAGTTGTCAGCCAGTGATGTTTCTATTACCCTGCATATAACCCCATCTTCAAGGTGTCTCATCACAACCATTATCCTTCTAGCTAAGGAAGGCAGAACTTCCTTCAAGCCTCATTGAGGCTTCTTCTTGATTGGTACGAGAGCTTAATCTTGAACAACTTCCTGCAGAGGGGGAGTGCTCCAGGTCCACATCATCCTTTGGGCCTACCCACCTGGGGAGTGACAGACCAGGCCCAGAAGCTGGGATAAAGGGCCAAAATCAATTTCCTTTGCACACATCTGTAAGAGGTTTCATTTCTTAGGGCTAAGTGGTAGCTTCTTGTCATTGTCCCGCCATGCAGGGGGAGCACACCACAGGTTAGACTTCTTCATGGAGCGCAGCATGCTCCCCACTCTGAACCACTGCAAACTGGGAGCAGGACCCCACCTCCTCCAACTTTGGGCTATCTGTCTCCCAGGATGCTAATAGTTATATTTAGCATTTATACTGAGCTTTATATGTTCAGAGCACTGTACAGACAGTAGTTAATTTTCACATAGGGTTGTCAATTTTGGTTGGACGTATTCCTGGAGGTTTCATCGCATGACATAATCTTTAATTAAAGATTACTCTTTAATTCCTGGAGATTCCAGGACAATCCTGGAGGGTTGGCAAACCTATTTTCACGACACCCCCATCTGGGTACATAGCATTGTCCCCACTGTAGAGATAGGGTGTCAGAAAGCCGAAGTGACTGATCCAAGACAACACAGCTAGTCAGTGACAGGCCGAGAACTAGAACCAGCCTTGTGCTCAATTCTCCATTCACTTGGAGAGGGGAGGAGACATTGGCAAGCTAAGGAGTCCAACCCAAACCAGAGAAGAGGGACATGAGGTAACTCTTATGAGGCACCACGGCAGCTTTTTCCCAATAGAAATATTTCCATTTTCGGATGTTCCATTTTTAATAAATAATAGGCGTTTTCCAAGGAAAGAAGAGACTTTTTGCAAAAAATGGTGTTTAGCTGAAAACCTGTTGGAAAACAGTTTTGTCAGAAAAATTTCAACCAGCCCCACCAGTTCCTGGGCTCTGCAGGGACACAAAAGTGAGAGGATTCCATGTGTCCACCCCGTCCTCCAGGCAGCAACGCCAGGGCCCAGCCACAGCCTGTGCCTTATCAATGGTGACCTTTCCAATATTACCTTCTGCGCCCACTTTCTAAGAGCCACCTTGGGATGCAAACACCTTGACAGCTGTAATTGTCATGGTCTGGGTGATTTTAAAGGCATTTAAGGTCAAATGGAGCGGAAGACAAGAAGCAGAGGATGTTAACAGAGAGTGTAATTTAAGGGTGGATCGTGGGAGTTATTAAGCCAAATGCTCTTGAGCCAATGGAATTATTCCAGCAAAGAATTTGGCTCCCTGTGTGCCTTTGTCTATTCAATCAGCTATCTTCAAGCTTTGTTCCATTCCTCATTCTACAGGGCTGCGTTTAACTAGTTAAAGACGCTGAGGCTTTTTTAAAAATACATACAAAGTAACATCGTTAGATTTTAGAAAGTTCACACTCTGGCCCTGGTCCAGCACAGCATTGAAGCACGCGCTTGACTTTAAGTTCATTGCCATCATTTTACTTAAAGTTAAGCATGCACTTAAGTGTTTGTCATGATCAGGGCCTGGATACTCAGTGCCTTGCATGAGTAAGACCTTACATTACTGAAAAATATAGCACGAACATACTGACAGATAGCAAATCCAGAGTTCATCTGCCCCCAATTATGAACATAGAATGCATTATTAGTTCCTTCCTTGCTGGCTATTATTCTGTGTGTTTTTAAGACAGTGAATTCCTCTCTTTGCACACTGTCATCAAATGGTTAAATGTGCCTGTTTAACTAGATAATAAGCTACTGGCACATAGTATATATTTAAAACCTCTTCAAAGAAACCTAGTGTAAACAGGATCAAACCAATATGATTGTCTGAGTAATTTTATGCAATACACATGCCTATTTAAGGAATTGCAAAGCAAACCTGCAGTTTTATGTGCCCTTCCAGAGATTAAATTTCTGTAGAAAAATAAAGTGCTGATTGCTTAATTATTCCCTCTTTGAACTCCCTATAAGATAATAACAATGACAAATATCTCAACAGAACTTCCTGGTTAACTATGAAAAGATTGTTTACAGTTAGTGTCTGCCCCGGGATTGGTGAAGATAGACCCTGTTCCCCCATATTGCCCTGCAACATTTCAACTAAGACACAATGATACATGCAAACATGAACAGATCATTTGTATTTCCAATCTGAGCCAAAATATTTCACATGTGCAAGGCGGTGAGTTAGAGAAAGAACAGCTCAGCCATATAAAGAAGTGGTATCTATTAAAAACAAAACAGCCAGGTTAGGAAAAGTTCAGTCATTTGACCAAATGGTCAAGTTTAACAAGACACAATTAAAGCTAATTTAGCTCCCATCCTATGAAGTTCATAAACCCACACATGGGAGCGCTCAGCTGGGGAGGAGGACACAAAGTTAGCTATAAATCCATAGATTTTCATATGTTTTCTATTAGCATTTGTATTTACTAGCAAAGATGCCATATTCTGTTGGAACAAGTATTTTTCCGCCCTCACAACTCATCAGAACTTCAGACGTGATGCTGGAGTGAAGGAATAATGCTGAATCTGTGAAACCACCTATACACTTTACGTACCTCTTTGATACCAAAACTTTGTAGGTTCTCCCGGATTTTCTTCGTGATTGTGAATAAGGCCCTGAATTCTCATGAGCGCCTTCCTGTTTGCCACTCGGGCTTTGTATTCACCATAAAAGCAGCAATTTCAAATGCAAATTTCCAGAGACCTGCAGGAAGAAATACATCGGCATAAGAATGATATAAAATTCTACTCTGTATGTGCTACTGATTGGGGGAAGGGCTGTCTTTTTCTTCTGTATTTGTACAGCATCTAGCACAACAGGGGCCTGATCCATGACCAGGTATATGCTCTGGTAATAGAAATAATAAAATAATAAATGAATGCAGACCTGGTGTTTTTCAAACAGGATTGAGGCCTGATTCCAAGAAATATGAACAACATATGTTTAGGTCCCTTTCTTCCTGTTATCTTCCTTTGGCCAGAGGAACCGATGGCAAGAATTTTAAAGGTATGTAGGTGCCTACCTCCCATTGGATGTCAGGTGCCTCAATATCTTTAAAAATCTGAGCCTGAGTTACTAGAGTTTATTGCCTTGTGTAATCCCACTTGTTTTCAGCTGGAAAATCTCTTGTGGCTTCTTCTCTGTGTTGCTTAGCTGTGCTATCCATATTTAAATTTTAATCTTTCCTTATGATAAGTCATTCACGTCAGCCCACTAATTGTTGTTGTTACTTTTCTCTGGAATCCCTATAATTTGTCAATATCTTGCTGGTAATGAGGGGCTCAGAACTGAATGCATGTTGCAAAAAGTCATAAAGAAGAGGGATTGTTACCGACCTGTCTTATGACACAATACCTCAGGGCACACAGCCCAAAATTCCATTGGTGGTTATCGTTCTTATTATGTGTATTACGGTAGCAGCTACGAAACCCAGGGAAGGATCAGGGTCTGGGCAGAAAAATATCAAACAAAGGAACCCTCTCCCCATAGCATTTACTGTACAGGGGTATGTCTGCCTAGAGTCTATGCTCCTGTTTTAACTAACACAGCAATAAATGCTATTTGTGATTTATCCTATGCTTCAGCTTTGGGCAAACCACAACTGTTTGTGTCGGGAGCAAACGTTTGTGGAGTGTCCAGACTAATATTTACAAGGCAGGTGAGTGAAGTTAATTGTCCATCAGTCAAAAAGAAGAGCCCAGACTCTAGTCTGGACACATGCTCCATGTCACACAGGACACGGCAGGTGGACAAAATAGAGAACTGTGGAGAACATGGGTGGGAGGATGAAATAACAAAAGCAGAGAAATGGGTGTCTCAGTTTCCCACTTGCTTAACCAAGACTAGAAAGTCTTTGGGGTTTTTTTCCCCACAGACAGTCGTTTTCATTCATCTTCTTTG